GGGCCCAGTGGTCTCGGCGAGGGCAGGGCCGTGGTTGGGCAACGCCGAGCGGCCTTCCGGACCCGGCTCGGCCTCGCGGAGCGAGCGCCCTCCTGCGGGAGAGGACGCGGGGCCTGCGGGTGGGGGAGACGGGGCCGCTCCCGGAGCTCAGAGCCCGCCGGCGCTCGGTGACACCCACATCGGGAGCGCGGCGGCGAGTGGCCGGCGGAAGTCAGGGGCAGGCAGGCGCCGCTCAGGGTCGGCAGGCGGATTCCTCGGCTTGGCTTGGTCGGCGCAGGCGGGCGCTGAGGACCGCACGGCCAGGGTGACGCTGCCCCGCTGGTACTCCCAGAGGGCGACGGCCCGCGCGCCGGACCCGTGCAGGCTCGCGCCGTCCCGTCCCGCGAGAATCTGGTCGCCGCGCCTCAGGCGGCCGTCGTGCTGCAGGAAAGCACAGGTGAGCGCCGAGGCGGCCGCAGGGGAGGCCGGGACCGGGCCGCTGCTGACCAAGCCAGGCTCCCCAGCTGCAGCTCGGCTCCGCTGGCCCCGACAAGGGGCGCACGGAGGGAGGGGTGCGGTTAAATAACGTCACGCATTTACCCTCGGACGGACTACAAGTCACTCAGGTGGATCAAACCGGAATTACTGGGCAAAACTGCTTTCAGTTTTTATTTGGTTACATTTTAATTTTTTGCAGTGCTAGGGATTAAGACTGGGGCCTTCATGCTGAGCTACATCCTCAGGTCTTTTTAGATTTTTGAGACAGGGCCTTTTATGTCAATAAATTCCCCAGGCTGGTCTAGAATCTGCGATCTTCCTGCCTCAGCCTCCCAGAGTGCTGGGACGACAGGCATGCGCCACCCTGCCTGGCTGATGGTGGTTTCTTAACTGCGTGCCCAGGTGACCTGGCTGCAATGTCTCGGAGTCGGAGTCGGGAGGCAGACAGTTAAGCTACAAACACCCTAAGGGGAACTGGGGGCCCAGGGCAGTTGCAGGACTCGCGGAGACAGCGCTGTCTCTGTCGCTTCCACAGCCCTTAGCCACACTGCCCACAGTAGGGCGTCAGTGTGGGCTGTCTGTGAGGCCCGGGAGGGGGAAAGCAGGGGGCGCCTGTGGGGAGGGGCTGCCCCTCTCCCCGGACGCTCCTCCCCAGAGCACAGGTTCGGGTCTCTTGGCTCTCGTGGGTGAGGCAGGCGGATGTCGGGGCGCAGGAGCTGCGCAGGTAACAAACACTACTCCTAGGAGCGGGGCCCAGATGGCCTCAGAAACCAGCGGCTGCAACAAACTGAGCCAAACAGCTGTGTGTCAGCATTCAGGTCTTCAGAGCCTCACAATTCACAGTGAAATGCCTCAGCCCCTGGCTCTGATACCCTTTCTTTCTTTTTTCCCTGGTTTCTATTCTTCTGTTGTTGTTGTTTTGAGACAGGGTCTTCCTGTGCAGCTCAGGCTGGCCTTGAACTCACTATGTGGCCCTGGCTGGCCTTGAACTCGTGGCAATCCTCCTGCCTCAGCTTCCCAAATGCTGGGATGACAGGTGTGTGCCATGATGACCAGCATGGGGGCATTATTTGAAAGAACTCTTTCCACTGGTCAGAGGGGGTTTCCTATGAGAGTCAGAGGAAAGAAGCTCACACGCACACGCACACCCACACACCCACATGTGTGCGCATGCACACACGCGCAGCAAACACAAAGCACTTAAAAATCTCACCTAGTTTTGAATAGTAAAAAAGAAAGAGCAAAAGGTGAAGTACCTTTGCACACACAGCCTTGACGTAAATTGGCAGGTCTCCATGGGGACGTCCATGACCCCCACAATGCTAAACCCCAAGCCTTCCAAGCCTTTCTCCAAAGTAAGTCTTAGGTGGAGGGCTTCTGAAAGCACAGCGCGTGAGGTTTAAATCGGGAAGAGGCAGCAGGGAGTTCATTTCACGGGAGAACGGACCTGAGAGAGACTTTCACACTGCGAAGCCCTGAAGGGTGGTCACCGACCGCCGCTCCGGGAGGGGGAAGCTCGCTTCTAAGTTTCTGGGTCAGGTCAACCCCCGGTTGGCTTAACCACCACCAAGGGCTTAAAAGCCACTGCTTTTTTATGAAAGTGCCCTTCTTCATGCTTGTTGTTTTGACAAGATCTTACTATCTAGTCCAGGCTGGCCTCGAACTTCAGATCCTCCTGCCTCAGCAGGCATTATAGATGTGGGCCGCCACATGTGGCTTACGCTTAGTCCCTCCCTCTCTCTCTTCCTCTCCCCCTCTCCTTCTCCCTCTCTCCCTCTCCTCCCTTCTCCTCCTTCCCTCCCTCTTCCCAGGACTGGGACTTGGACCCAAGGTCTCACATGGGAGGCAGCTGCTCTACTGTTGAGCTTCATTCCTAGCTCTTTTAAAAAATATTTTAAGTCAGGGTCTCACCAGGTTGCCCCGGGCGGCCTTGAACTCCTGACCCTCCTGGCTCTGCCTCCTGAGTAGCTGAAATTACAGGTGTGTACCACCACGCCCAGCCCCCAAGTTTGTGGTACTGGGAATTGAACCCAGGACCTGTACACTGAGCTACATCCCCAGCTCATCTGGACTTTTTATTTGACTCAGGGTCCACCAAGTTGTTAAATGGCCTGAGCTGGGCTTGAATTTGCAGTCCTCAGCCTCCCAGAGTGCTGGGATCACAGGTGCATGCCCCGCTTGCTTTCCCAGCCTGTTTGAACCCTGTAGGGATCTGCCCTGCACGTGCCTGGCATGGCCACAGTGCTGCTGCTGTCCTGCCCGAGTGGGAGCTGCAGGCTTTGGGTGGCCCTGTGGCCATGACAGCCGTGCAGCCTGAGTGAGCCCTGGGGACCCGGCCACACTGCCCGGACTCCAGGCTCGGGGGAGGGGATCCCCAACACCTGGAAGACTCAGCCCCACCCTCCTCTGTCCCTGCCCCCGCCTCCGGCCGCATGGCCCTCAGCGTGGCACGCTCACTCTCCAGCTGTCCTCTGCCTGCTCAGAGCCCGCAGCCCCTTCAGCACCTGAGCGCCCAGGCCTGGCCATGCTCACCCCACACCCAGGGTCCGGGGGAAAAGCCAGGCACAGGCATGCAGCCTGGAACGCAGCCCTGGGAGGCCGGGCAGGGGTGAGCTAAGGCCAGTGTGGGCTGCCCAGTGAGTTCTGGGGCCGCGTGGGCCACACACCAAGACCTTGTCTCAAAAACCCAAAAGCAGGAAACGGCAGGAGACGAGGGTGCAGCAGGGTGGGCAGGGAGGTGTGTTCGGTGTGCAGTTCAGGGTTCCAGAGCTCCGTGCAGTGTGGAAGTCTCCCTCAGAGCTCCACAGCAGGTCACAGTAGCTCTTCAGGCTCGGGGTCTGCTCTGCACAGAGGGTGCTGGCCTCTCCCAAGTGCCGATGCCCACAGCTCTGAGCTCTGGTTCCCGGCCACTGGCCAACGTGGGGTGGGGTCACCCTGAGGCAGGAGGGTCACTCGAGGTCACCCGAGACCCAGCGTCTGGGCCTCAGAGGAAGTTGTGAGAGGCGGGTGGCCCTTCTCAGCTGCCTGTCCCAGGGGACCTCCTCTGTCCCCTCCTCAGCTGTGCCTGGCTGATCAGTGGGTACCTTTTGGCCAGGCCGCATGGGGACAGGGTGCCTGGGCATGGGGACAGGGATTGGCATCTGTAATCATCCCTGACGGCCCTCGCCCTGTGTCTCAAGCTGTTCTGACACCGTGGGCTTTTCCAGTCAGCTAGGACTTGCCTTACACCCGAGCTTCTGGGTGAACTCTGAGTTCTGTCCATGCCCACAGTTCAGGGGCCCTCTGTCCTGCCCTTTCCAGCTCTCTCATAACTGGGGCTTTAGCCAGCGTGGTAGGACACACCTGAATCCCCGCACTTGGGAGGCTGAGGCAGGAGGACCACTGTGAGTTTGAGGCCACACTGTGCTGTAAGTGAGTTCAAGACCAGCTGAACTACATAGCGAGACTCGGTCTCAAACAAACAAAGAAACACACACCGCGGGTTTATGGGCTTGCTCGTCCTACTCCCTGGCAGTCCTCAAGGACTGGCGCCATAGCTTCCCCCACATTTCCACGTCTGTGTCCTCAGCCCTGGCCTCTGGGTGGTGCCTGCCTCAGAGGCTCTCAGCAAATCTCTGCCGAAACAGCAGTGTAGGTGACAGGACTCCCGGAAGAGGGCTCCACCCTTTGTGCCTGCACCCCGGCAGACTGGATCCCCTTTGGAAACAGGGAGACGAGTTTCCAAGACCCCGGAGCTGCTCTGTGGCTGCTGAGTGGCCTTGAAACCCTTCTCCCAGCTGTGGGGGAGGAGGCGGGCTCTCCCTCGCTGCTCCCTCTCTCGCTCCCTCCTCCCTCTCTCAGAGGCCGCTGCTCCTTTGCAGGGTTTCTCCCGCCTGTGGCTCACATGGCTTTTATAGACTTAGCTTAGTCCACTCCAGGAAAGACTCAGAGCCCCTGGAGCTGGGCGCCCGGGGGGCGGGGAGTGGCTCGGGGCCACACAGGCAGGCCTGGGGCCCGAGAGGAGGGTGTGAGGCGGAGCCCTCCCAGTGCCAGCCCCTGTCCCCAGAGCAGGGCCAGCAGGGCCACTGGGGTAGGGACCTTCCGAATGCCCTGTGGGCCACCTCGTCAGGGCTGGGAAGGGCTGGGAAGCAGCTTGGGCCAGTGCTGGGGCTGACCTGGGGCCTTCACACTGAGCTACACCCCAGCCCAGGTTTTATATTCCGAGACAGGGCCTCACTAAGCTGCCCAGGCTGGGGTCGGACTTGCTGTCCTGCCCCAGCCTCCCCAGGTGCCCCACGCCCAGCTGGGGGCAGCACCCGCATGTGCTCCCTGTTCCTGCTCGGGTGGAAGCTGATGAAACAGGCGTCGCAGGGGTTTGATCCCACGAGATGCGGCTCGGGAGTGGAGGGACCCCGGCCCGGTCCCGGGGGAGGAGCAGCGGCTGTGCCCGGGCTTCAGGAGACCCCATGTCCTGCGGGGCCTGTGCTGCGCCCTGCTCACTGGCCAGCGCCTCAGCCCAGGAGCTGCCGGGGCCTAGTACTCACTCTGCACCCTCCGCGGGGTGGTCAGCGCCCGGGTGTGGGCCCACAGACGTGCTCTCCAGCTGGGTCGCTGTGGCAACGCCGTGGGTGTCAGCCATGACCTGGGGACAGAACAAGGCCTCTGTGAGAGCAGCAGCAGGCGATGCCCAGTGCTTGCCCTGACCCCAGCCACCCCTGCCGCAGGACACGCGAGGATTTCTCAGCCGGTCCTTCAGGTGGCTCCCACAGTGCCACACTCAGCTCCCGGCCCCCGCTGGGCACCTCTGCGGCCCCCACCTCACTGTCCAAGGGCCACAGGGCTCAGTCTGCAGCACCACACCTGTCCACCTGAACATCTCGCCTCAGTTGCCCGGGGATCAGAAGACCTAAGGGTGATGGCTGCCCAGGCCCCGTCTCCTCTTCCTCAGCTACCGCAGGACCCGGAAGCTCGCCTGGGCGAGAAGACTCCCAACTGCATCTCCACCTCCAAGCCCACGGGTCCGCCGCCCGACGCGGCTCCTCTTGGGGTGTCGTGGGGAGTCCCCACCGCCCTGTCCTGTCCGAATGTCTCTGCCGCTGTCCTTGGTCTTGCAGCCTCGCCCATCTTGGGCACTGCAGGGTCCCCGTCTGGCAGACACCTCGGTGTCACCCAGGGCTCCTCTCTGCGCCCCGTTCACCCCTCACAGGAGCCTGCGGGTCCCGTCACAAAGCCGCTTCCTTCCTGGTCCCCCCGCCGCGGCGCAGTCCCGTGCAACATGGCCGAGTGTGGCCCCAGCATCGCCTGTGCCCTTGTCCCGCTGTCCTGCGTCTGAGGCCCCGGCTCAGTCACACAGGTGACACACCAGGTGCCTGCATCTCCACAGCGAGCGCCTCCCCCTCAGGTCCTTCCGCATGCCCTGGCCGCACTGAGCCTCCTGCAGCCCCTGCCCCCGGCCTGCCCCGCCCTGGCTCCTCCTCACTGTCGTGCCTGAGACCTGTGTGCCCTCTGCCTTCTGTCTCTTGCCGGTGTCGTCCTGCTCCCGCCTGTCCCCATGGTGTCCCCAGTGTGTGCAGCTGGTTGGCTGGCAGGACGGAGAGGGAAGGGACGCCGATGCCTTTCACACACTGCTTGGCAGGCGACAGGCAGCCTTCCGGGAAACGGCCCGGAGGGACGGCGGGCGGGACAGCCAGAGCACTCTCACTGCAGCACGGGCGGAAGCCAGGCTGCGGACCTGGGGCCCTGCAGGCCTGTGCGGCCCTTGCTGCTGTGACCCCACTGCCTGGGGACGTGGGGACGCAGCGGCTGGACCTGACCGTCGGACTCCAGGTCTGCCCGCCCGTGAGGGTCAGGAGGGAAGGCGCCATTCTGTGCCTTGTCCACCAGCACTGTGTGCTGCCCCCAGGCACTGTGGACATTGCCACCCACTGCCGGCCCAAGCCCGTGTCACCTGCGGCTCAGTGTGGCCCCGGGGCCTGGGGACAGCGCACACGCCCAGGGCTCCAGATCCCAGCACCACGCCAGCTGCCCCAGCTCGGCCGCTGCTGCGTGGCCAGAGAGAACCCTGCCCGCGGCCCCAGAGGCCGCTGAGGAGAGAGACCAGGCTCCCGGCCGACAGCTGTCCCTCAGTTCCCGCTCCGCATCCCACCAGCGGCTCCACTGTCCACTGTCTGCGCGGGGACCGGAGCTGCCACCCCCACCCCGGGCTCCAGCCTGCTGCTCCCCGCGGCAGGCCTCTCCCTGCAGTTACTTTTCAAGCAAAGAGGACACCGGCGCCACTTCAGACCCTCAGTGCGACCCCGAGGGGCCCCCGAGTCGCCCGCCCTCCCCACTGCTGTGCTCCTCCCTCCTCTCTCCCGGGCCCCACCCACCACCCGTCCTACGGCCTTCTGTGGCCACCTTGTCTCCTCCTGTTTTTCTCTCCATAGCTCACTCTGCTCTGCTTTTCGTTCCTTTCCCTTCTCCTTTGTTTAACTTTTTCAGGCTGGGTCTGTGTGGCTCGGGCTGGCCTGGAACTCACGGCAATCCTCCCGTCTCGGCCTCCTGAGAGCCAGGGTGGCCAGCATGCTCGGCTCCACAGCCCTTCCGTGTATTTCCCACTGCAGCCACTCCGTCTTGCTCTGACGGTCTACCCTGGGCTCTCCTTCGCCTCAGGTGTGCCGTGGTTGCCCAGGAAGGACTCGAAGGGCGAAGGAGCCAGCGTGAAACCTCCTGGAGGTGCAGGGGTTGTGGCACAGAACTCCCAGAATCTCCGCAGACAGCAGCTGACGGGCGCAGGACAGAGGCTGGGGTCCCCCAGGAGACCGTGTGCCGGGGTCGGCTTCAGAACGGCAGTGCTGTGGGTCAGCTGGCCCGTCGGCCTGGTGGAGCTGGGCGCCCGCAGCCCCTGACCGAGACACACGAGGGCCGCGGGGTGGCCGGACAGTGGCCTTCCGAGGCGCCGCCTGCCGCCCTCTCCCTGGCGGCACAGGCCAGGGCTCTTCGGGTCCCCAGAGGAGCCGTGACCAAGCCGCAGCGCGGGGAAGGGGCTCCCGAGGGGCACCGCGAGGCCGGCTGGGCTGCAGGACGGGATCCACCACGGAGTCCTGGCCTCCTCTTCTTTCCTTTCCTCTCTTTTCCTCCTCTTCTCTTCTTGGCCTTGGGGAGAGAACCCAGCGCCCCCGCCCCAGCCTAGAACCTGCTCACCATTCCCTGAGGAGAAAAGCCCCGCTTTCCTGCACGGCCTGGGACCCGTCCTCTTCTCAGGAGCCGGTCTGGGGATCCACCCTGGAGAGCTGAGAAGTCAGTCTCCAGATAAGCAGAGGGGCCCCGGGCTCCAGTCCTCACCACCCGGCCTTGGATCTTGGATCGGCAGGCCCGGGCCTGCGGCAGAGACCCAGCAGGGTGCGGGCGGAAGGTGTGGACGCGGGGATCGCAGAGCCCGGCCTGGCCGCGAGGAACTCAGACTCGGGGCTGATCCTTGTCTGCCAGGAAAGGGCGCCGTTTCCACAAAATGGGATCGGGCAAGCCGCGGACACGGCGCCACCTAGTGGGAGCAGCAGCACGCGTCTCCCGGAGGCCCAGGGCCTCAGCCCCGGCTACGTCCCTCCACGCAGGGAGGCGTCCTGGGCGCCCCTTCGCCACGTCTCGGCGCCCTCGCCCCCCTGCTGCAGCCCTGACTCCCAGGGCTTTGTCCTCCGCGGCCTGGCTGGCTGCCGGCCTTCCTGTGCCCACCTGGAGGGCTGCCCAGGCCATGCCCGACCGGCCCTGGACAGGGTCTCAGGCTCGTAATTTGAGGCCGGGCCTCGCGGGGACCCCTCGGCGGCTCCCTCGTGTCTCGGCCAGCGGGGCCGCCTGGCTCTGTGCTCTGGTGCTGCGGGGCACACGCTGCCGCCTCCCCCAGCCCTCCTCAGGGTTCGGGGCCTCAGGGTGGGCCTGGCCGGACCCACTCCACCTGGACAGCCTCTCCCAGGTGCCCGCTCGGCCTGGGCGGAGGTGTAGATGGCCCCGCCCCGGGAGAGCAACTCTGCTTCAGAGCGGAGAGTGAGCAGCATGGGCAACAATGCAGGGCCAGCAGCATCCTCGCTACAGGGTGTCCTGGGTATGGAGGCTGAGGCAGGAGAAGCTCTGCTCTGCTTAGCCCTCAGGACTGGACTCTGGGTTCTCTTCTCTTCTAGTTTTAAACTTGGATCCTCCCACCTCAGCCTCCCAGAATGCTGCGATTATAGGTGTGAGCCAGCACACCTGCCTTGAAATTTATCATTTTGATGATTGCTATGGACTCCCCACTCCAACAGATGAAAATTGAGTATACCAAACCCTCTCACTTAACTTTGTTTTCCCTACTGTGCTGGGGCATTACTGAGCTCCAGCACTGGGCCCCTGGTTTCCCCTCTCTCTGCTCACTTGCTGGAGTGGATCCTGAAGTAGTTTTCTCAGAAGACACTGTGATGAAAAGGTCAGGTGCCATTTGGATCTCTTATTCTTTTGTAGGTAATGTATACATTGGCTTTGAGGTTTTAAAATGTATCATTCTTAAAAGAAAAAAAATAGAAACAAAGTCTGTGTAAATAGGGAAGGGGGGAGGGGGTGAAGGGTGCACAGGTAATGGGAAAAAAATAAGAACTAAGATACATCATATACAGGTACAAGCACCCAATGATAAGTGTAAACGTATTGTATACCTAAAATGTACCAATAAAAGTTTTTTAAAAATACCATTCTTAAGGGCTGGGGCTTTAGCTCAGTGGTTCCAGTGCCTGCCTTGCAAGCGCAAAGTCCCGAGTTTGATCCCCGGTAAAAAAAAAAAAAATACCATTCTTGCATTATTTATGCTGGTCATAATTGGCCTTTAAATTTCTTTCATTTGTACATTTTTATCACTCTGCTTCTATTTGCAACTCTGATTTATTAGATATCAATTGGTTCTCCTGGCTTAATCTTGTCTCATCCCTGCCCCTTTTGTGCAGTGCTGGGGACACATCCGCGGCCATGTGTGTAGGAGACATCTCTGCCCAGTACTAGCAGGCTATGAGTGGCACCTGCTTCTTGCTGTCCATAATTCAGCTATGTTGTTTTATTTTTTTCATTATTTTTTTGGTACCGGGGATTGAACTCAGGTCCTTGCGCTTACAAGGCAGGCGGCGGAGCCACTGAGCTAAATCCCCGGCCTCAGCTACTTTGTTTTATATCAGGAGTCAGACTGAAGCTCTACATGACTCAATGGGCTGTCAGCTGCCAGACTGGGCGAGCCCAGCCCCTCCCTCAGTGGCTGTCCAAGGCCTTGTCTGTGAAGTGCAGGGCTCTGCCGAGTCACTGCAGCTGAGGTCAACGTGACCCCAATTAAAACCCTTTCCTCTGAATTACGGCTTCTCACTGACCCTATGGGTTGCTTGCTAATTGCACGCAGTCCCGGTACCTGTTTGTTCCATCCCAGCAGGATAAGCAGTGCTTCCTCCCTGACAGCCCTGCCTGGCGCCATCGTGCCAGGTGTTTGCAGCGTTTCACTGGATGCCTTCAAAGCCCAGCCTGCTCCCTATCCCTCCCCTTGATTGTACTCAATAAACACTGGATGCGCTTGGGGGCCTTTGTCTTTACTGCCATCGGCAGCACTGACCAGGACCAGGATGCAGCCTCTCCACTCTAAGTCTCGTTTCTGTCTGGGGACAGCTCTGCATGGGTGCTCACAGTGCCAGCAGTCCCTGTGCCTCTGAGAAGGCCGACTGTGCTCTCCTCTGCCTCAAGAGACAGGAAGAGAGACAGCTGGGACCCAGAGAAAGGGCAGCGCGGCCTACTGCACACAAACTCGATTCACAGAACTCGGAGGCTGAAAGCCGCACTCAAAGCAAAGTAATTCCCCACCGTGACGCTTTCATGGACTCACACCCACTGCCCGTGTGGGTGACACTGAAGATGTCTGAATCAACACACTGGTTTCTTGCTGTCAGTATCCCTGATGCACACCAGAGGACCCCCTACAGGGGCGGTGCCAGGCCGGGGCCACCAGTGTCTCCCGCCAGCCGCTCTGCTGTGGGGATGGGGATCCGGACGGTACCTGCAGGACGATGCGACCGAAGGCGTTCTTCAGCAGCGCCACCACGTCCCCATGTGCCAGCCCATCCAGAGGCTGCCCATTGATGCTGACAATGCGGTCTCCAACCTGGGAGGACGAGAGCCATGGAAATCGCTGTCGTTAGGACAAACGCTCCACACTCCCATGCCCAGCTCCATCTTGGCTTGGCCCTGGTCTCCATGGCACAAGGGGGGGTTGCCTGTGGCTGGCTTTTCCCTCTCACAGAGCAACCCGAGAAGCACGCAGGCCGGGCCTACTGCGGGGAGCGGTGGTGGCTTCTTGCGTGGGTGTCAAGGGTGCCCCACATCCACTCCCCAGGAGAGGCGAGGTGGGGATGCACTGGCAGGGAAGCTCTGCCAAGGACGCCCAGTGTTTTCTGCTTTACTTTTCTACCTCAGTTAGATGAAAAAGAATCATAAACAGGTTGATGGGGCATGGGGGACAGTTTTAGGGTCAGCTCTGTGCTGAACAATCGAACCTCATGAGCTTCAGGTGGGACTCCGCTTGGCGTGGGCCTGATGGCTTCTCTGATCAAGGTCCCCAGCCACACCCGATGGCCCATGCAGCGGGTCCCCGCTTACTTTAAGCCTCTGTGTCCGAGCCGCCACCCCGCTGGCCTGGATCATGGCGATGAAGACCGGGACATCGCCTAAGGGGCTGCCTCTGCCTCCTGCGATGCTGATCCCCAGCGCGTCGCTGGGCTCCTGAGGAGACACCATGAGGGCCTGCAGTTAGTAACAGCCCCATGGGTGTCAGGACCGCTGCTCCCCAAATTGCTCCCTAGGCCACGGCTGACACGGAGGGGCCCAGGTGGGTGCAACACCCCAGCTCCAGCCCAGAGAAGCTGACGTCTCAGTGCCCGCTCCGTGTGCGACTCGACACGGGAAGGTGCAAGGGAGTGGAGGGACCCGCTGCACACTTCGCAGCAGTCATCCCTGGCCTCGCTGCGCTTTTCTAGGCCCGTTTCCGTTACCCGTTTTCTCCAGTGACTTGAAATTGTGCTCACACCCAACAGATCATGTTGCAGAAAACTGAATTTTCTGCAAACGCGGCTGCACACAGGACAGAGGCAGCGGAACCACGACTTACTCTGACGATCTCCACCGTCCTGGGCTCCGAGTCTGTGCCTGTGAACGAGGAAGCGGAGGTGAGTGTGCCCCAGCTCGGGGACCGGCCCTCCCGGGACTTCCCGCCCTCAGGTGTCACCAGCAGCACTGTGTTCTCTGAGACGAACGAGGGCTGACCATGTGGGCTGGGCTGAGGGACACAGAGCTGGCTCGGAGGGCAGTGGTTTGTGCTTCCTGTTACAGCCTCTGCCTGTTCAAAGCCTCCCTCTACCCAGTGAAGGCTTTCAAAGACCCCATCCCTGCCTCGTCTCAGGGACACACGACCTCTGACTTCCCAGTGACCCGCGTCATGTTCTCTGCAAAGGGCTTCCTCCCTCCCGCCCTCTGTCCTCCAGTGCTGGGTACAGAGCGGAGTCAGACAAGGGCTGAGCTACTCTCACCCATGCTGTGGTCTCTGGAGGCTGCTGTGACCCCGACCTGTGACCCCTGAGCAGTGGCCTGTGACCCGTGACCTCTGACCCCTGACCTCTGACCTGTGAAGCCCTTTCAGGAGGAGGCCTGGGCTTAGTGGCCACACTCAAAGATTTAAAGCCATCTGAGTGAAAGGGGACAGCGTGTGTTTTGATAACACGAACATTTTCGAGTTGGGCGACAGCAGGCTTTGCTGGGCGGGTTCTGGATACCTGGGCTCTGCTGCGAAGGATCTGCGGCTCTCCAGGCTCTAACCAGGCTCTGCAGGCCGGTGAGGACAGGGACCAAGGCGGGGGCGCAGCTGCCATGTGTGCCCTGAGGGTCCCCCTGGAAGGCAGGGCCAGTGGTCACCGTGTGCAGACCACGCGGGCCCCAGAACCACGCTGTCCCAGGGTGCCGGTGCTGGGGTCCCTGACACCGCACAGAAGGTGCTGCAGAGGCCGAGGAGGGTACCCCACACTGCCAGATGCCTCTGCCCACCAGAACCCAGCGCCCCTGCTGCACAGGGACGAGGGCACCGTGGGGCTGCGGGCCCCTCCCGGGCGGCCGGGCGGCACAGGCCATGGCAGTTGGGGCACCACGTCCCGGGTTCCTGTCAGCCCTGCCCGGCACCCACAGGACAGCGAGCACACATTTTGCTAAAGATGAGCATAAAAAAAATCTCGATCAGGGCCGGGGATGTAGCTCAGTGGTTCTGACGCCTGGCTCGAAAGCGCAAGGTCCTGAGTTCGATCACCGGTACCAAAAAAAAAAAAAACCACCCCACAACAAAAACAAACAAAGAAACAAAAAAGTCTCAATCAACAGCAACTGGACCCTGAACTGTAGGAGAACACAGCAAACGTAAGGGTGAAAGGCTTATTTTAGGGATGTATTGCTTTTTATTCTCAAAAATTCTCTTACAGTCAGTAACAATTTAATCCAATCTGCTACACCCCTATCACTCGAGCTTCCCCTCGTCTAGACAAGTGTCCGAGGTCTGCCAAGCACATCTGTTTGTGGTGAGTGGCTGCCGGCGACCTCTCTGTACACAGGGAAGGGTCTCTCTATCGCAGGCTGTCTGTCGCCAGTAATGAGCATTTATTTTCCTACCAAGTCACCAGGTTTAGGCCCAGCTGCTTTTAAATTTGAAGCTAAGTCTAAGATCACTATTATTACTTGATATGTTTAAATTTAATCCATTTCTGTAACTCTATGCTGCAAGTTGTTTAATATTTTAGTAGTCCTTAAAAACTTCATTCATCTTTTTTTCCCCTTTTTTGTGGGGCTAGGGATCAAACTGAGGGAGTTGCACAGGCTGAGCAAGGGCTTCTTTGGTGGGGCAACGTCCTCAGCTGGGAAATCTCAGATATGCAGTAAAGCTGGCAGACTTTAGAGACCCGTACATGTGATACAGATTCTGCAATTTAAAACGGCTGTATTTTCTTTATCACATATCATCGTTCATTGATCAATTCATCTGTTCTTTAAAAATTCATTTTGATGAAAATCGTAGGTATCAGTACATTTCAGGATGGATACATACATTTAAGAGTGTTTGAATATTTTTCCTGAGAGGATATGATTAAAAGCGGTGCTATAGGGCTGGGGATTTAGCTCAGTGGTTTCGCCACCTGCTGCGCAAGCGCAAGGACCGGAGTTCGATCCCTGGTACCAAAAAAGAAAAGAAAAAAAGCGGTGCTATAAAAGCTACTCAGAAATGAAGAAGCACAGCGTGTTATATTTTGGCCTAGAGAATCTGCACACAGGCCTTTGTGATACCGCAGGAGGGGTCCTGGCTTTCCTGGGAGGCACATCTGGCTCTCTGGTCGGTGGGCAGAGCCTCTGGGAGACGCCGGGGCCCACAGCCTCCAGGGCTGCCCAGCGAGCCCACTCCTGGCGGTGCCATGAGCCGCGGCCTCCTCCCGCAGCCTCTGTCTGCACTCTCCTCTTGCCTGCTCCTGCCTGCGGGACGCGGCGCGCTGGGGACGGAGCCCTCTCCTCTCCCCGGGCACACGGCCCAGACTCTGGACGTCTCAGCCACAGTGTTAAGCACAGGCTGAGGACGAAATAGATTTACTTCTCTGAAAACCGAACTGAACTCCCAGCCTCTGAAAGGAGCCCTCTGGGCAGGGCGTTGGCTCTGGTCCCTGCTCAGGGCCTGGTCCTGGCCGCCCGCTGCGCCCCGGCTCTGCTCCCGCAGCCTTCTGGAGCTGCCAGCGCCCAGGTCAGCTGGCCGTGAACCTCCTCGGCTTGGCGGCCACTGTGCTGCCAGGACGGCTCCTCCAGGCACCGCGAGGCTCTGGAAACCGTGCACGGAGGCGAGGTCCCCGAGCAAGACTCCTGCCTGGAATCCAGCCCACTGCCCGTCCTCGTGGGCCCCAGGGTGGCACCGTGCCTGGCACAGCCTTTGCCACCCACCACGGACTCCAGAAATGAAACGAAAAGAAAGAGCCCAGCTATCGTGGTGCTGTCCAGCCCAGCAGCTCGTGGAGTCCCGGCCAGGCCGGCCAGGGGCGCAGCTGGACCACCAGGCCACTCCTCGCCGGTCGCCAACAGCAGCGAGGCCGGGGCAGCCGAGGGCTTCCCAGAAGCACCACAGCCTCGAGCGACCTCGGGAGCCTTCGGCACCGTGACCACGGCAGCCCGGGAGAGACTGAAAGTCACATTTTTAACCTCAAAACAGGCCTGTCCACAGCCCGCCCGGAGCCGAGGGTCACACACGGTCCTGTGGTTGTGTTGTGCACCACACCATGCTGAACAGGAGTCCACGCCATCTTGGTTGTGCCAGCCACAGAACTGACAAAATGCAGTGGGATACACTTTTCAAAAAGTGGCACTTACATCAGCCTTCAAATAAACATGAGATATCCGCTGCCCGAAAAATATCACCGCCACGGCTCCCTCCCTCAGAGACGCCGCTCGCCCTCTGAGGAGCACCCGGGGGCTGTTCGCTGCGAGTGGCCACGTTCCGCCTGACCACAGGACACTGTGCTCGTGAGGGCGGCTTCCACCGCGTGCGCCGGCCTCTGGATCAGCCCTGGCGCAGCGGGCCACAGCCAGCCAGGCTCAGAGCACGGAGCCCCACCTCCCGGTTGGTTCCTGCAGTCCCGCGCTCCCGACTCGACTCCTGCGCGCTTCCTACAGGTCAGTCTGTGAGCGCGGCAGGGAGGGGCCTACCTGGCTGTGTCGCGCTGCCCTCCTCGAGCTCCAGGCGCCAGCGCGGAGCCGCCCGATCTCCAGCTGCACCAGGCCCTGTGCGCACTGCGGAGACAGAAGCCCAGTGAGGGGCGGCTCGTGTCCCCGACAGCGCGGCTGCCAGGAGCGGGAAGGGCGGTGGGGGGAGAGGCCCGGGCCCAGCAAGGCCCCAGCAGCACTGGCTTGCAGGACGGCGGGTGAGCTTGGGGTCAGGCTGGGGCCCTCCAGGCCCCACTGCGTCTCCCCTTCTCCTCTGGTGAAGGCGTTGGTGAGTGGTGGGTGAGGAGAAAGTAAGGGAGAGCAGGAAATCGAGAGGGAGGGACCTGGAACGCAGGTCCGCCCGGCCCCACTGAGGACAGCGGCCTTATCAAGAGGGTGAGATTGGGTGGAATTTGCGTCCTTGCTTTGTGAGACCGGAGCGATGCCCGGTGTCGCCGCCTGGGAAGTGGGCTCCACGGCGGGGGTCGGGTCTGACCCGGAGGGAAAGCCGGGCGCTGTGCCTGTCCCAGCCTCGTCTGCGAGGGGAGCAGTGGCTGCACAGCGCTAAGGTCCCCGAGCATCACAGGGGTCGTGGCCACTCCCGAGGACGGTGAGAAGGCGCTGGGGGCCCGGCGGACGGCAGAGCTCTGTCCCAGCCTCCCTGCTCCTGACTTGGTCGGAGGCCGAGCCCTGCCCTTCGCCGCCACACTCGCCTTGAGGAGGGCGGCCACTGTCTCCTGGGAGGCAGCTCGCAGGTCCTCGCCGTTCACCGCCAGGATCTGGTCGCCCCGGGTCAGGCGCCCGTCCAGGTCTGCAGCTCCGCCCTTCACGACGTCGGAGACAAACACTCCGCTGCCCGTCCTGTGGAAGGCGGAACCGAGGGCCAGCGCTCTCCCGGAGGCCAGCCCCGCTGCTAACCTCGGTCTCCGCCCTGTCTTTCTCGCTTCCCGTCTTGCTCGGCTTTACTGGACGGACGGACGAACTTGTCCCGAGCCCAGGCCAGAGCATGAGCCCGGCCCAGCCTCCTCTCCCCTCAGCTCCCCGTGCCCGAGTCCGTTCTCCTGGGGGGCCCGAGTCACCTGTCGCTTGGGCATGTACAAAGGACACTGGGTCCTACGTAAGTGTGCAGCCACGCGCAGTGTGCAGATGTGTGTGTGACCAGGGGCACCCCCTGCCTACGCGACTGGCCCTCAGTTCTGTTTTCTTCAACCCCATTGCTGTCACTCGGTACACCTCAGCAGTTGAACCTGTTTCACTTTGTTTTGTTTTCATGCTAAGTGTGCTCTGGCCCTGAGCCATGCCTCAGCTCCTTATCAGCTTCCTCCTTTTTATGGCTGCATACTATTCCATGGATCCATAATTTCACTAGTTAGTAACCTATTGATGGGTGTCGGTCGAGGTTATTTCCATTCTTTGGCTACTGTAAACAATAGGCAATAAATATCTGCAAGTATAGCTTTAATATAATTTCCAGGTCATGGAATTGGGAGCCAAATGGGACTGTGCGTCTCGTAAGAGAAGCCAGGCAACACTTAAGCTGATGTGTCCGACTTATTTCACTTGATATTATGGTCTCAAGTGCACCCATTTCCCTGCGAATGCCTCAGGTTTATCTTCTTTAGGGCTGAGCAGGGAGTTCTGTGTAAGCTAGCATTTCTGGGACAGCTTTCTGCAAAGAAAACTGCCCTGAGGAGGTGTCGTCTGGACGCAGACATGGTGTGGGCGGCTGCTCCCCAGCCTCAGGCGCCCTCTAAGTGTCCCGGGCTGCTTCCTTCCGGGGAGCGAGGGGCGGCCTCAATCACGTCACCAGCCCTGACCTCAGGCCGGTGAGGATGGGGCGGGGGCGCCGGCACTGGAGGGGTGGCCAGCGGCTGGGAGGGGCGTCTCCCTGCCCGCCCCGCCCCGCGGCCTCTCCCAGGCCAGCGGGGCTTTCGCTCGCTCTCACCGCTTCCCGACGATGCTCAGGCCCAGCCCTCGGCCGGCCTTCTTGTGCAGGTCCACGGTGAGGACCTCCAGGCCGCCCTGGCCCCGGAGCACGGCCAGCCGCACCTGCTGCGGGGTCTGCCGCAGGGCCGCGACGGCCTCCTCGTGGCTGCAGCTGCGCAGGTCCGCGCCGTTCACCTGTAAGAGCAGCGCTGAGAGGCCGGCGGGCGCCCGGGCTCCCAGACGGCCCTGCCAGAGGCACTGGCACTGTCCGGGTGCAGAGCGGGGCACCGCGGGAGGGGGCGGGACTGGCTCGGGAAGCAGCAGGGGGACACACTGCGTGCCAGGCGCGCTCGGGGCCGGGCGCCGCACAGGGCCTGACAGCGGTGCCCCAGGCCCCGAGTGTGCTCCTGGCTGGGCGGGACGGCCGGCTGCACAGCAGTGTCCTGGGCAGCCACTGTGCGAGCCACCTCTGCCTCAGGCTCCGGGTGTCCTGGGACCGACCGCAGGGCCTCCATTTCCTCTTCGGTTACATGGACGTCAGAGCCCACTCCTTCTTTCTCCTCCCTTAGTGCCGTGTGCCAGCCCTCTGCTAGGATAACCTGTCCAGTCCTCACAGGAAACGACATTTCCGGGAGCGATAGCATGAGTGTGTTGGGGGGGGTGGGTTCTGAGGGGTTCATGGCAGTGTGCCTTTCACTGCAATAAACTTCTTATACTTTGTTTTCTTTTTGACATGGAGTCTTCCTATGTAGTTCAGGCTGGCCTTGAACTCCTCCCGCCTCAGCCACCCGAGTGCTGGGATTACAGGAGTGTGTCATCGTGCTTGGCAACTTTTTAAACAGTCACCATATTTTTAGATCTCCCCTCATGGATCAAATGTTTATGGCAATTTCTGTCAAATGAAAATATGTCGCTGAGTCCTCACCCACCTTATTCACCATGTGAATAAGATCTGGCACCGTGTGACTCCCAGCTCTCCCCAAGGTCAGGATGACCATGAAACGGACACATTTTGAACGGGTTCAGGACAGCAAGGCAGCCAGGACAGCACAGCCAAAGACCCTCAGGAGAGAGGGCTCCGGAACTGCTGCAGGAAGCGGCCAGGACGAGGGAAGAGGGTGTGCGAAGTAAGGGGAGGATTTGGGGAGGATTTGGGGGAGGCTCCTGGCGATGTCTCTTACTGTGATGAACACATTTGAAATGCAAACATTCAGGGTGCTTGTGACCGCCCCTCACACACCAGCTCTCTGAAATAAGACTGCTCCTCACTCAGCGCAAGATGTCACATTGCGGAACAAAACGCTTTGTGGGGAAAACATGGGGCCAGGCAAGGGCAAGGCAGGGCCTGTCTTATTGAATAGTATTGCTCTGTCAGTTAAGTGCACATTTGTTGAGACAGTGTTGTCCAGGCTGCTCTCAAACCCCTGGACTCAAATGGCCTCCCTGCCTCAGCCTTTCAGTGCTGAGATTCCAGGCACAGGCCTCCAGGCCTGGTTCTGAAGCGCACAACTCCATAGGTTCTGAAATTCGTATCCCATGAGGCTACTGCCACATTAACGGATAACTGAGTGTCAAGTGACCGTCCCGGGAGAATGTTTGGACTTTGTCAAGGCTCATGGGTTAAACTGCTCACCTCAGCAGGCCGAGTACGATGAGAACGGAGGAGAGTCGGGGGGAGCAGGCCCCGGCTCCCACCCCTGGCCCTGAGAGCAGTGGGCGGACTGCAGTCCGGCTGCTGCAGAGCCCGCCTTCCCTACCCTTACTCAGCCCACTGGGACGCACTGGCAATGTCCCACCATGCAGCCCTGAGGCCTCGAAGGCCCCTGCACCTTGCCTGGGGTTAACCTGCAGCCAGCCGGCCTCTCCCGGGCCCCTTCTGGTCTAGGATTTCTGCCCTTAGTGAGACCTCTGCTCCGTCCTGGGAGGCTGGAAGCAGCTACTGAGGGGAGAAAAATCGGCGCTGTTGAGGAGCTTGCTGTGTTTGAGCAGGGAAGCGAGCACACCTGCAGCCACAAACTGCTCACTGTGCCATTAAATCCACCAGGGAGAGAGATCCTCGCTGCCCGGGACTGGTTCCTCGAGGAAGCTCTGCAGCTTCCCCGACCAGGGAGCTGCTGTGGGCTCTCGTCTGTCCGCTCCCTGGCGCCCACGCTGCCCGCCTCGGCACTTTCGAAGGCTTTAACGGTTTCACCAAATGAGAAGCAATGTGAAAGAGTCAAGCTCAGCAGTTCAGTTTTTAAAAAATAATTTGCAGCGCTGGGAATCAAACCCAGGGCTTCGCCCCTGCTAGACAGTGCTCTGCACAGAGCGACTCCCCAGCCCAAGAGTGCGACTGCCACCTCATACTTTGAGCCACCAAGGAGCAGACGCCATGTCTGCATCAGCTTGAAAACACTAGTGGCAAGGACTTGCATTTAATGTAGAGGCCTCGTCGGATTAAGAAAATAGTATTTAAGGTGCATTGAAGATCTTTAAAATATCAGAGCGTATGGTTGTGTGTGTGTCTACGTACCTGTGTTCTTAGGAGGGAATTTAGTAAGGTATTATGGAGACACAGAAAATCTAGTTGCAATACTGCATAGTCCTGTTGGATATCAAAATGATAGAACCATATGTTGTAATAATTTACAACAATTACAGAAGTTTGAGCCCGGCGTAGTGGCACATGTCTGTCATCCCAGCACTCGGGTGGCTGAGGCAGGAGGATCACTGGAAGTTTGAGACCAGCCTGGGCTACATGGTGAGTTCAAGGCCAGCCTGAGGTACACAGGCAGACCCTCATAAAACAAAATAAAACAGATAAAAACAACAACAAGAAAATACCCCAATTGCAAAAGTCAACTACAAAAGTCTTCACAGATTTAGACTGACAAACCGTCATGATTTTATAGGATGAGCTGGTTTTTTTCTTTTTTGGTACTCAGGACCTTGCGCTCGCCAGGCAGGCGCAGAATCTGTCACGATTTTAAACCAGTAAGTTGATCAATTTGCATTAATAAAAGAAAGTGACATACTGTGGGGTGTGCACTGTGTTAGGGAAGGAGCCTGGCCGGGGTTCAGGCTGGAGCAGCAGGCAGCCACCCTGAACCTTGAGGGCTTGGTCAGCAGAGGAACCGCATTCCCCGGTATAGAATAAAACTTGAATTATGTACCTCCAAGATCTGGTCTCCGGCCCAAAGCCTCCCATCTCTGGCTGCTGCTCCTTCTTCATAGACCTCGTGGATAACTATAGCATCCTGCAGAAAACAAACCGTATTAATTCTGACAACCCAACTGCTCCCTAAGTAAGCAACCAAACATAGAGCGACCCCGGTCGGCCCACAGTGCTCCTCCTCGGCCGAGGGGGGTGACACAGCCGTGCCTGCAGGGCGTGGTGAAGCTTCCCCAGGGTGACCAGCCGCCCTCAGGGAGGGCCCTGCCACGCCACACAGTGGTGCTGCGGGCGAAGGGAGGGAGCCTCCACTCACTCTCCTTTACCCTTTAGATGTATTTGGAGCCAGTTTCAGGGTTCATGCGCATTCAGGGGCTTGGCGCCCATGTGTGGACTGACGAAGGGGCTGGGCAGTGACAGGACTGGAGCTGGGGCCCAAGGACGGGAGAGGAGAGCCGGGTGGGGGCAAATTGCTGCCTCGGAGCCCTTCAGCTGGCGGGAACAGCAGCAGGCAGGCATTGGGTGGAGACTGTTCCCTGACTCAGGATTAAAAAGTAACTTGTGTCCCTCCAAATTTATCCCTTCCAACGTGAGTGTCATCACCCCACGCCTGTCCCAGCTTGTCCCAAGGCAGAGGAGTCCAGCCGAGCCATAGGGTATCGGGCAGAGGGAAGCTGCCTCCAGGCCGGTCCACCTGCCACGTTGGTCCCCATGGTCCCCGGGCGCTGTGGACTGCAGGGCCACGTGTTGTGTGACGGCTGGGAGTATGGCATTTCCCTCTTCGCCCTCCTGAGAAGCAGGCACTCGGCAGACTCGCCTCGAGGACACGGGCTGACCAGTTTCCGGTGCCTCTTAGCGGCCCAGAGTGAGCGAGCCTCTAAGCAGATGAAGCAGAATCCTGCCTTCACCCAGAGTGCAGAGCTTCGGCAGTACGCTCACAGGAAGTAGAGGTAAAACTGAAATGCTTCTTGCAAAGCATAGCAAATACAGTAGGAAAAGCCTCAAATGTTCCAGACAGAAGCAACACAAGAAAAGGCGGGGTCTGCAGCTCACAGCCGTCCGGACCGGACAGCCTGGCAGTGCTTTCCCTCTGCACGCGCGCTCAGTGGCCCGGCTGTTCCAGAGCCAGGGGCGGCGCCTCCATCAATTTGCGTTCAGCTGCCGGGCCGCGGCTCCAGGAGCCCGGTGTCCCCATCTGACGCAGAAGCTTTTAGACCCGGCGTCTACACTGCCCAGCCAGCATTCACATCTCTGGGGATCGGCTTTTGGTGGTCCCAACAGGAGAGCAAGGGAAACTGAGGCAGGCTCTGCAGGCTAGAGCCCCGCCCCCCGGGGTCAGAGGAGCCCCCACTGGACGCGGCCCTCGTGGCTGTGGCTGACCTCCGTCCTCGGCGCCGAGTCCTCATCCCAGAGCGCTGCAAAGAAGCCTAACCGAGACCTCTGCACTGGCCCGCGGGAGGCCGGCGGGAGGGAGCCTGGGGCTTCAGTCCCCGGGGGCGGTGGGAAGGGGAGGCCCGTGCCATCCGGTGTTGGTGAACGACCACACGCAGGGCCCGCCACTTCGGCCAGTCTGGAGCGCCGGCTCCGGCTGGTGATCTGGTTTGGGCCATACCTCTTTCTGTATGGAAAACTCCACTGATCTCTCTCCTTCAGCTAGACGACGACTGTAATTTCTCTAAATCAGTGAAAATACAGGAAAGGGCCAGACTGGCGAAGCCCGACCGACCTCCAAGGCTGCTTGACAAAGTTCCAGCTGGGCGAAAAGGCGGGTGGAACACATCGCACCCTCATGTTTTATTTTTTCTTGCCATAATGTTTACAATTGTTACTCTGGTCACAGGAGTCACTGTGTTTGTGACTAACAACAAACTCTCCACGAGGCAAATTGGCAATGATGTATTGAAATCTGATCTGGCTCAAAAGTCCCAAATTCCAGTTTCTCTTGGTTCTATTGCCACATCCGCTTCTGAAGAAACCTCTCCTGAAACCCCCTCTGTTTCCCCACTACTGTAACTCCCCCTCTTATTGTTGACCTTCGTATTACTAAGGGGGTCTTATGAAGAGGTCGATAGGACAGACTTTAGATGTAGGAAATACTGGGAAATAAGAAACAGAGAAAGTTTGGACAGGTAAATGCATTAAGGAGGCGAGTTACTCAGTATTTCTCACAGTGCTGAAAATATCTCCTGCTCATGAACTATGAACCCGAATGACACTTAGGTAAGATAAACAGAGGTATAGAGAGGTAGAGAGCTAATAGCAAACTATATGAACCATTGTGCAGTTTCTCAAGGGCTAGCTGGTGACCACAGGTTTGACATTTAATTAATTAAATCTTGTTTGTATCCCCGCTGCTATAGAGAGTCTAATTAAGTTACCCTCTGGAGATTTTGATTAAGTTCCATTTTGTTCTACCTAGCTATGGGAAAATAAGGGGACAATTGTGATTTTTAAGAAATGTATTCATGATGTTCGATGAAATGAATCAGCTTAGAAAAATATACTGTTTAGTAAGAAATAACCTTGACCTCACTAGATGTTGCCAAGGCAACCTAAATTGTAAACATGTTCCGCCCAATGGCTCTTAGCTAGTGCTTAAAGATATAAAAATAAATCGGACCCTGAGACTTCTCAGAGGGAACCTGAACATTGCTTGCGAAGGTTCTTTTCTCATCGCCGGCCCGAGACCTGTCCCCTTCGTGCCCTGCATCGACTGCAGCTGGTCTGTGGCACCAGACCTGGGACTAGAAAAGCCCACGTGCTGACCACGAGCCCAGAGCTCGGCGTGCCCCACGCAGGGGCGTGATCGAGGCTGACGGAGGTCAGCAGCTCGGACCAAGGGCGAAACGGAGATGCACGCTGGTGAGCTGAAAAGAAAGAGGGCTGGGCTTTTGAAAATGTGCCTACTTTACAGGGCAGGACGGGAGAGAGGG